GCGATATACATCATGTTTCTACATTTTATATAAAAATTTTCTATTATTATTTATTTATTATTTTCACGAGACAATTTTATTAATCACGTGTTCTTGATCATTGTAAAACTAAATCTGGCAACACTAATTAAAGAAACTTTATCCGCCAGAGAGCGCTTTCGCACGAACCAGACGATTTAAGTAGGGGAACCTGAAAGTGGGAAAATCGGAGAAAGAGCTAAATTCTCCATATTAACACTGAAGAAGAAGAGAGCGCTTTTACTGCTTAATGCGAGTTTGTATTTTGAAATTGTATTAAATATTTTTGATAGTATAAAATGTCTGAAAGAAAGGTTCTTAATGTAAGTATTAGTTTTTACTCAATATCATTACATCTGATAAATTCTATACATATAAATAACGAAATTTGACACATTGACACATATCTTGTTAGAAGTTACTTCTTCATACAGGAAAGTATCTGATAGAATATGGCATAATTGAGCACTCAGAATTATCATTATGCAGAATACATTCCAAGTCTAGGCCCCTCTTCAGCTGCTGAAGTGTTTGAAAAAACTGTTCTTGATTAGTCAAAAGGATAAAATTGTGGATGTGAATGACCTTAACACAGCTGTAGACCATCCCCATAGCAGCAAAACGACAAAGGAATCATGGTTAATGTTACCCTAGGTATCGAACATGGCGTCGGTCGGCGCTTCCGGTCGCCATCTTGTTTGCGAACTCGGCGGCGGCTGCTCCACTGCCGCAACCCCCCCGAAAAAGGAAAAATAGAATTACGAAATAATAATAATTTTATTTCGTAATTCTTTCTTATTACTAAAAAAAATATAAAATGTGTATTTTTTTTACTTACGTTCGAATGCTTCTCTCTCTTTTTTCCTACTGTTTGTGTGTTAAACCGAGGTCGAAATCGAGGCCTTTTTCGTATTTGCACTTACAGAGGTTAAATTCCAGAAACGTATACCGTCATGGCAGCTCATCTCTGATTTTAGCAAATAAAAGAAAGGAAACAGTGGGGATGCACGTTCTAACCTAACCTAACCTATTCTAATAAAATACCATAATTATTACCAACCATTTTATTAGAATAGGTTAGGTTAGGTTAGAACGTGCGTCCCCACTGTTTCCTTTCTTTTATTTGCTGGAATCACTTTCGAGAAGACGGAAAAAGTCCCGGTAGGTACTGTACATTCCTGCCAAAACTCTTTGGAGGCAACGTCCAAATCACTCATTCGGAAGAAAAATAACGAGGGAAAAAAAAACAAAAACACCTTCAATTTAAACGAAATAACACCAAATTTTTGTAACAAACCGACCTTCTTCTTCTTCGTCGTCACACAAATCTAACTTTCGCACGCGCACACACCCCTCGTCCGTTTAGCAGAATTAATTTGCATATCCCGCCACGTTAAAATTCAGCGCCCTCTATCGCAAGCGTAACTCGGTACCCCGATACGAGATTACCGGAAACGCCGCCATCTCGATACCTAGGGTAATATTAACCGGAATCATACCTTGACGTACAGTCCTTTGTGAAATATGGCTGCCCCAAAATTGCCCTATTTTCGGGCACAACTGGAGTCACACTAAGAGTATCACGTTTAGCTATTTAGTCTGCGTGATCATGCCATCTTTGCATTGCTCACGTGATTGTTTGTGGAGCACTTGATATATAGTTTTGGGGATATGAGGCTCTCCCACCCGTACACTGATATGTGAGCGATATAAGCGAGGTTGAGGTCAACTTTTAAACACGAAAACGTGTACATCGGACGTTCAGTGCTGCTTTCCTGTAATTGTATACTTGCTTACTGGAGAATTCAAGTTAAAAATAAAAAACCATTTAACTGTCCAGCATAATTCTTTAATAACATAAAAACATTTTCAAACGCATTGAGCGTTCATCATCAGTTATTTCTCTAATTTGAAACGGGAAATTCGAAAAATTACGCAATCGAATTTCAAATAAATGGTTATGTAAAAAATTAAAAGGTAACATGTTATAAACGAAACTGATATACAAATTTCTGTGTATTTAATAAATAATAATAAAAATAAATAAATAAAAAATCTATCCAAGATTATCCTAAGTCCGATTAAGCCTTTTTTTTATAGATCTATGCCAATTCGTTGCAAAAAGATTTCCAAGCAGACGACAGCCCATCTGCATCCCTATAGTTGATACACTGCGTGCTCTTCTGCGCCCTGTGGATTTCCATCTTTTCGAGATATTTTACCGCGTGTCTAGATCTAGTAGCTTTTATTATAGAGGCCTGGTCCCAGAAAACAGTAATGCCTTGTTGTTTAGCATAAGTGGCAAGGACTGTACTGTCAACAGTTTTGCTCACTGAAAGCTTATGTTCATTGATTCTTTTTTCAAATTCGGTGGATCCGGAGCATATTAAAATGGCGGTATTTCGATCTTGGATAAGAAGAGCGCACACGCATTGCACAAACGTTTGCAATACAGTTAAGGAATTACAATATGTATGAAGAACTGCCATACAGCATGGCTACGGGAGGAAAAGAATAGAGGCTCTCATTAAGAAAGATAATAATCTGGCAAGTAGGCAAAAGCAAAACCACCAAAAAGAAAAAGTTGTCCTCGATTATATACCCCTCCTTAAACTGATTGTCAAGAAGGTTTCCAAAAATAAGAACTTACAAATAGTTTATCGACGTAATCCCACTATATACAGGATATTAAGGAATGATAAGGGTAATTATGAACGTAACTCCTTAACAGGAATATACTCAATACCACTAAGAGACCATAGGTTCAACTCTAACTTAGTATATATAGGTGCAGCTTTGAGGAATTTGAAAAAAAGAATCCAATGAACATAAGCTTTTAGTGAGCAAAACTGTTGACAGTACAGTCCTTGCCACTTATGCTAAACAACAAGGCATTACTGTTTTCTGGGACCAGGCCTCTATAATAAAAGCTACTAGATCTAGACACGCGGTAAAATATCTCGAAAAGATGGAAATCCACAGGGCGCAGAAGAGCACGCAGTGTATCAACTATAGGGATGCAGATGGGCTGTCGTCTGCTTGGAAATCTTTTTGCAACGAATTGGCATAGATCTATAAAAAAAAAAAAGGCTTAATCAGACTTAGGATGATCTTGGATAAATTTTTTATTTATTTATTTTTATTATTATTTATTATTATTTATTAAATACATGGAAATTTGTATACATGTTACCTTTTAATTTTTTACATAATCGTTTATTTGAAATTCGATTGCGTAATTTTTTGAATTTTCCGTTTCGAATTAGAGAAATAACTGATGATGAACGCTCAATGCGTTTGAAAACGTTTTTATGTTATTAAAGAATTATGCTAGATAGTTAAATGGTTTTTTATTTTTAAGCTTTCCTGTAAGCCTGTAAGTTTGACAACAGTGTTTGGAATGTCGAGCGTGATTCCACTGACTATCCGAACACCATTGTCAAACTTCTAGGCTTACAGGAAAGCGACATTGAATGTCCAATGTACACGTTTTCACATTTAAAACTTTGGCCTCAACCTTGCTATTGAGTATCCTAGTGTATTGAAAATAGGCAGTAGTATTGGTTCAAGATAAAAATTGTTTTTGGTTAATTGGAGTTAATGTGTTTATAATGTGTTATAGGCACTGGTTACAGTGCCTATAACACAAGCGAGAGGGCAACAAGAACTGCTGCCATTAGATTTCTACATTTGGAGACACGTATCTTGCAGAGGGTTGCATGTTGGATTTTTTTATTCTTTATCAATAAATAATATTAGAATTTCTGTTAAACGTATGATAGATTCAACAGAGCATACAATGTGACTCTCCATCGTGTTGCTGATTTTGGAGGGCTGTATCTCATGAAGAGTTGCATATAGAGTATGTTTCCTTTGACTTTTTTGTTTTTATTGGTATGGTTTACAGCTCTGTTGAGGTCCCAACAGTGTCACTTACATCTGTGATCTTACCTTTTTGACTTTGCTCAGGACCAGTGTTTCAAATACATTTCAGCAGCTGAAGAGGACCTAGACTCAAAATGCATTCTGCAAAATGATAATTCTAAGTGCTTGATTATGTCTCTATCAGATATTTTTCTGTGGGATAAGTTCTAATTTTATCAAATTGCATGATTTAAGAAATACAATAATTGATAGAACAAAAAGCTCAAATCACATAAATAATTTTGATTTTATTGCCTACAACTGTGTTTGTCTGAAGTTATGGAGGAGAAAATAATGTGCATCACTAAGCCATATAGTTTAATATTAAAGAAAGATATTGAAACCAGTCTTCAGTAATGCAAGATTAATATTTCTCACAGAATAGCAACTTATAATTGAGCCATTCACAGACCAAATTGATTAACTTCATTTGTAAATCCTTAATGTAATTGTTATTATTTTTACATTTTTCACGTAACTAATTTTATATATCACTACAATAGAGCTATGCTTTAATATAATGGTATATAAATATACATTCTACAATGTTTATTTAAATTTAAAGTTTAAAAGGAATTTTTAAAAATAATTTATATTGTCAATTTTTATACTTTTTGTTTTATGGAGTTAAGTGATTTGACAAGTGAGCAGCTCAATTATAAGTAATATACATAATGACCTTATCATGTCTATTTTAATCAAGAATAATTTAATAATACAGTGCATGAGTTGCATATTGATTGACAGAGCAAGGTATGACACTTCTAATTGGTATGGCATTTTAAAACAAAATTTTTTTAATTTTATGTAGGGCAGGGATGGCAAACCTTTTTCAGTTTGAATGCCATATATTAAGCATGTTTTTCTTTAAACATCTTTATGCGTGCCAAAGTTTTACACTTCAAATAACGATATTTGAAGAAATTAAACAAACCTGTTCTAATTAGAATAAATATAAAATAGCTGATTGAAAAATTAAAAAAAAGAATGATCAGGTGATAAACCAAAATGATAATGGAAAAACAGGTGACAAACAGAAATCGTATGATACATTACGTGTCGTGTGATTTTTCCTTACATGCCATAGGTTTGCCACCCCTGATGTAGGGGATAGGGGCATCAAATGCATGTCTTGCCCTTTGCGGCATAAAGTCTAATACCGATTCTGTCATTTTGAACTGCTTCTCCAGTAAAAAAAATTCTTAATTGAAACATTCAGTGAAGACAGACTTATAAGTAAGTACTGTAAGTTTCCACAGTCTGCTTTCCAGATTTGACAGTAATTGATTTCTAGTTTTGAAAGTATTGATATTTAAAGTCTAATGTATATCAGTCAGGTCCTTTTTACATTATCAGAACTGAAAGATGATATTTGATGTGAAGTCAGTTCCATTTATTCAGATATGCCTGCAATTATGGATTATATCACTCACCTCAATTCTGTCATACCTTGTAGTAGATGTCATGTCAAACACTTGCTGTTCTAATAAACAAATTGAGCACATGATAGTCATTTTCATTATTTTACTAATGCCTCTAGTGCCACTATCAGGAACTTTTCTAACAAAAACCCTCATTTTGAGAATACTTAGTGCAAATCATGTTTTAATTCAATGGTGTTTTGTTTTTATGAATAATTTTTAATGTTTTTATAAAATTTTGGCTGACCCTACATATATATTTACACTCAACTCATTTTATTTAGTTTTTATATGATTCTAAAGTAATTTCAATTTTTTTTACAGAAATATTATCCTCCAGATTTTGACCCAGCCAAAATCCCAAGATTGAGACTTCCTAAGGACAGACAGTATACAGTTAGATTAATGGCACCCTGTAATATGAGGTAAATTTTATTTGTAGAATAATAATATAATTTCAGTTACCTTTAATTAATATAAATATTTATTTGTTTGGTTACTGAGATATTTAAATTAGTAAATAATAATAAACTTATAAAATTTGACAAAATATTAATTGCTTTATTTTATTAATAACTATGATTGAATTCATTATTGAATATCACCATTTCTCTTGCTCACAAAACTTGATTAAAGCTCAGATTTAAAAAAAAATGTTTACACATCAAATTTAAATTTTTGCAATTTTGAAAGTTTGTATAAATTAATTGGATATTCTATATCATCAGTGGCCAACTGCCAATTCCTCAGGGGTTGCTCTGGAAAATTTAAAAATATTGCCAACCATTTCACTAGTTTTAAAATTTTTTGCCACCTCAAATTATTTATTGCTATCAGTTTTACTTTCTAATTAATGCAGGTGCTGATAGCCTTATCAGTTTGGCAGATGGGAAGCACAAGTAACATGTTAAGCCATCACTTACAAAGAGAGGTTTCCAATTGACTTGATGAGCATATAGCCATAAACACAAACAGTTCCTTGTCCAAATAATAGGACCCACTTCTCAAGTGTTTACAAAACATGGACCTCTGAAAATTCAGTGTTTAACTTAACACTGTGATTATGCTACTCTATTTTCATATCATTTGTCTTTTTGTCCATGTGCAGTAACGTCTGAAGCTTATTTGCTTGTGAGGACATAGTATGTAATTGTGACCAAAAATATATGAAAATAAGTCACGCCAATAAATTCCCCAAATTTTGTTAGCCAATAAAAAATCCCCGATTTAGATATGCTGGGCAGCATTTGGGCACCAAACTGCCTTTGGTTCTCAATGTCACTTCCTACTTTTCTGCCCAAAACTTGCCATGTGATGTCATGAAATAGCTAGGTATAGTGTGCATTGCGCATGAGCTAGACATTCTGCTGTTTTTCCTGAAGTTTGCATTGTGATTCAGTTTTATGCTAAATGTCAAAATAAGCAAACTAGTGTTTTTATCACCACTTGTTATTACCAGTATTATATTTTTATTGCCACCTTAATAAAAATATTGCAAAGTGGCAATTTTGACTCTATACAGCATGACCTCTAGGTTCCTAAACATATGTAATCCACTATATAACTGGATTGCTGTATGTTAGATCTTTCTATATAATACGTCTCTGTAATCCAAAAATATGGTAGACGGACTCACCGCCAATTTTCAGTTAGGAACTACAATTTTATTTTCAAAAATGACAAATTTTACAGAGACGTATTATATAGAAACATATGTAATCCAGACGTGGACATTTTCAAAATGCATGTTGTAAATGGTTTGAAAAATAATTTACAATAAATCTGATTATATTTTTATAAGTTTTTATTTTACACCAATCTTTTCTGTATTGCCTGATATGTTATTTTTTTTATATGTATATCCTTTTAACTGTTTTTGCCACCATTTTCAAACCACTGGTTAATTCAAATGATTTGTTTACCCACCTGGTTATAAATTATAAAAACAGAAAATTTGATTCCCATACATGCACTTTCGTGTTTTATTTGGCCTGCCATTTAAAAATGTTACCCATTTTTGTTTTATATGAATATATTTGTATAATATAAAATTATCAAATTTTTCTATTAAATGCAGGAACTATTTTATAATATTTCAGTGTATTTTATTATAAGATCATTAGAAATCAAAATGATTTTTTTAGCTGTTTAATTTATTTGGATTTGATATCAAAATGGATATAAACAAAAGCTTTCTTGTAAATTACTCTACAATGATAATTTGTAAAGTAACATGCATTTTGAAATTAATACAGAAGTTTATTCATAATTTATAAATATATTTTATTGATTTATTTAAACTTTTTTTTCTATCTAGATGTACAACTTGTGGGGAATATATATACAAAGGAAAAAAATTTAATGCTCGTAAAGAAACAGTACAGAATGAAGAGTATCTTGGAATTAAAATATTTCGTTTTTATATCAAATGTCCACGATGCTTGGCAGAGATAACCTTTAAGACTGATCCACAAAATGCAGATTATGTTGTGGAAAATGGTGCCACAAGAAATTTTCAGGCTTTGAAACTTGCCGAAGAACAAGCAGAAAGAGAGGCAAAAGAAATAGAAGAGGAAGAAAAAAGCAACCCTATGAAATTATTAGAAAATCGAACAAAAGCATCAAAACGTGAAATGGAACTGTTAGAATCGCTAGAAGAATTGAGAGATTTGAATCAAAGACATGCACAAGTAGATTTTGATAATATGCTAAGGCAGTATGCTGTTTATGAGGAAAATTTAAGAGTAAAACAAGAGGAAGAGGATGAAGCTTTTATTAGGTAATTATTTAATTTTAAAATTACATAAAATAGGTAGAATTTAAATCAATTTTTTTTTTATAATTACAATTTGATATGGATATGTTAAATTGTGAAAATTTAACCAGTTTTTCATTTAGGGTAAAAATTGGTTAGGTTATTTAATAGAATAACTAAGGCTAAAAGTAATGAATAATAAGTTTTTTGAAGTCACATTTGTTATGAAGGATCTTTAATGTAGATTTTTTTTTTACCTGAAAATATTGTTAGAAATTGAAAAAGCAATTGATTCATAAATTGGGATTAAAAGAAACTTTAAGATTTAGTTAATGCATGAAGTTCAACTGTGTACTGAAAATATTTATTTTTATATTGTTACAAAATAGTTTCTAACAGTATAAAAATAATTTGTAGCATACAGAATAGATTTGCCACTGCACTAACTGGTTAAATGTAATAAAGACACCAAGGCCAGTTAAAATCACAGTAGACTTTAGTTGTATGTTTATCTGATAATGTCCATTTTTAAATGGACAAAAACATTTGTATGAGTAAAGTCTATTGGGATTTTAACTGATCTTGGTGTTTGTGAGGTCTTTATAGTTGAATACTTGTAATATACTTAATTTATGTAGTTTGATTTTTTATTTGAGTATCTATTTTATTGACTTTAATCATTTTAATACAATATAACATTTAAAATTTAATATAATTTTGCTGGTGAAGGTTTATCTAGGTATTTTTACATGTTTAACATTTTAAAATAAATTAGTTTAGATTAATTTTAAAAATACGAGGGTTGTCTCAAAAGTAATGCACAGTTGGCTCTAACTCGAAAAATATTTATTGAAGAAGATACAAGTAATTACAGGCCTTTAAAATAATCCCCTTCCTTATCAATGCACGCTTGCCAGTGGCGCGGAAGTGCTTGGATTCCGTTCAGCATCCCCTTCTTATTGAGCATCCAAATCTCTCAAGTCACTTTTCTTTGGAGCTCTTCCAACATTGAAAAATCCCCCATAGGAGTTCCTTTGGCCTGAGGAAGAGATTGAATTCAGGTGGGCTCAGATCAGGACTCTAAGCTAGGTGGTGGAGCTGTTCCCAGCCATATTTTTTGAGAAGTTCAACGATTTGTGCACTGATGCCGCCACCTTTCATTTGCCTAGCACCTGTGTTAAAATACAATGCACACTCGTTTTTGAGATTCCTGTTTCTTACTGTGATTCTCCAGTCTTTGTCAAGCAACGTTGCAATTGAAGCATTTGTGTTATCAGCTGTTACAGTAAACAGCCATCCCGCACATGGATCGTCTTCAATGCTTGTTGGACTTTCTCAAAATTTCGTGTGCCACCTCTCTACTGTGCTATGATTTACAGTAAACCTACCACACACTTTTAACGCAGCATGAATTTCGGGTACTTTTTTCTGCACACTGTTTCAATGCAAATATATGCATGTTGCTCTATTGCTGAAATCCGACCCGACAGACTGTTCTCATTGTCTTTTTGAATTTTTGGTATTTTCCCTTTAAACGAATCCCACTACAATATGATACCAATGTGTTTGTAAGACTTCAATCTACACACTGATGCTTCGATCAACTGTCTACATTGCCTACAATGCCTGCTAGAGCGCATTGTGCATTACTTTTGGGACAACCCTCGTAGCATTAAAAATATTTCATTGTAGCAGAGAAATTTATATAAAAATGTGTTTT